TTAACCTGAACTACATATTACATAGTGTATAAATATGGTCAATAAATACCATTGCATACTTTTACATATATCTTCAGTAAAAAGTAAAATAATTTTGTGTATATATAATCCATGTATTGACTAAAAGGATTTAAAGTGCCTTACAGATGCATTTTTTATGCAATAAAGTATTGACTTAATCAAATCTACTTATTGATCAATAATGAATCGACTACTAATTGTGATTATAATGTATTTCATTAATCTACTAAACAAACATCTGGATTTTTTATGATTTTCTTTGCTTAATTGTAAATTACTGAAGATTTTAATATTTTTCTTAAATAGGAAATATTTGAAATATAATCTCTTAGAACTTTAACAAGATGATTAGACATTGACAAAATTAATTTCTTCACTAATTCAATTTAGAATTGTAATGGAAACCTGCTGAAGTATTTTTCTTACAAGTTGGGAGAATTTCAGGCAATGTCTTGAGGCAATTTCTTAGTTCTGCAAGAAATAACACACATATAGCAGATGGAGGGAAACTCACGGGTACTTAGAAATTATACTTTCCCACAGTCATGAAAATGATTACATTGAAGTGTGATGAAAAAATGAAATCTGAATTAATTTAATATGTTAGTATATATTTTTGAATGCCATTTAAGTCCCCTAACAGAGGAAATAAAGTGTGGCAATATAAATAAAATCCTAGACTTCTAATATGCATTTTTATTATTCTCTGTGACAGGTTATATATAGGCTTAATATTGCTTAATGTGATTGTCAAATAATTTAGTTTGAAAATCTGGTATCTTATAAATGTTTTAATATGTTTAGGGAATCTGTGTCACTGTTTCTAGACACCTTTGCAGATCATATAACTCTGCTTCAAAATGCATCTGTCTGTTTTCTAAACAAAAGAAAAGAATAAAATAAGATTTCATTACATTAAAGAAACAAAGTATCTTGTATAGACTTTTTATGTGTGGTGGCAAACAGGAAAATAAATTACCAGTGATAAACTGGCATTCTGTTGATATTACTTGAAGTTTCCTTAGGAATCTTTGTTTCCATGTGGGCAATTTTTGTTAGAGAAAAATTGTATTTTAATTAGATGCAGAATGTTATAAGCATTTTAATAAGAATCCTGATATGGCACATTTTATCTTCAATTTTTAAAAAAAAATATATACCACTGTAAATACTGTGCGTTAGATTCATGTTGATCTTCATCCTGAGCTCCTTTGTCAGTTGTAATGAAATCAAAAACGTGGCAGAAGGAGCGAAGTATTGGTTATCATAAGGATGTCTGTCTCTACCCTATAGAGCTGGTGAATTCCAACAGAGGAATTCCTGAAACTAATTTTCAACACAGTTGTGCTAAAGCAAGAGCTTCAACAAATCATACAGATGTTTTCATTTTTCCGTGAAATCATATAAACAAAAGAAATGTGGGACAATTTTGCCGTTTCTGTACATGTGCTGAGTGCACAAAATTTCAGAAGGGATTCAGTAGAATTAGGAAAAGTATGAAGGCAACAAAACTGGTTAGTCAGAAGGGAGGACCTCCCGAGGGACCGAATCTAAATTGACTAGAATCTTTTAGCTTGCAAAAAGAGACCACTGAGGAAGAATGTGATGATATAGGTCTGCAGTATCCAGAAGGACATATAGAAGAGTAAATAAGGAACTAATATTTACTGGTTTTCGCAACAGGGGTGCTCGAACCACCCACTGGAACTGTAAGGAAGCATTTTTAGAATAGCCAAAGGAAAAACCTTTGTAGACGAAACTGCAGTGTAGAACCCACGATTAATGATTTTAAAAATCAGAAGCACGGATTAGTTCAAAACCATTTAACTGTAGGAAGCTGACAGAATATCTGTGGAATCACTGTATTTGCCCTGTGTTAGTCTTCCAGTCCTTGTCACTGTTCCAGGTGAGATACTAAATGATCCTTTGGTCTGCCCCTCGTGGCCGGTCCTGCATCTTCATGTGGTATGTGTGTGAAACCACAAGTAACTCCTTTCTCCCCGCCTCAAAAGACAAGCAAAAAGTGCACTAATTAATCTTTGTAACGTTCTCAGGTGTCCAAAAGGTTCCATTGTTAGTGGAGTTACACACGAGTCAGCCTCTACTGTCTTAGTGTCAATCTATGCACGTGATGTGAATATTTTAAGAAAAAGGGAGAAGACCCCGCAAACAGAGTTGAGAAGGACTGTTAAGGACTGTAGTTACCAAATACATGAATAATATTCGTAAACTTGTTAAAAATTAAATATTTTCTTATCAGGTTTATTCGATGGATTTAGGAAAAAGTGTTGGCCTTGAACTAATGTTGTCATTTTCACCTGTATCAAAGCCATTGAAAACTGGCGCTAAATCCTACTCAAGTAGAGTGGCCCAGTGTATCTGTTTGCACTCCCTTCTCCCCTGGGTAAATGCTAGCCCGTGGTCAAGATAAGAAAATCAGATAATAAAGAAGCTCCTTTTGTAAAAATGTGTCGTTATGGTGACAGTGAAAAACTTTCTGAAAACTCATTTCTGGAGTAATGAAATAACATTTTATGAAAAAGCTTCTAATAGTCAAACTAACAGAAGTTACTGATAATATTTAAGTTTCCAGGCAGCATATTGTTTCTGTGTAATCTAATGAAAACAATGTGTGTTCTAGAAAGCCAAATGTTTTCTGATCTTGAAAGAAACTTATGAATAGCTGTACAGATATATATATATATATAAACATCAGTAACATATGTAATGAGCTTATGTTTTAAGTATTCAGATCATGGTGTGGTTTCATATTTGTGGTGCATGCTGCTATCGAATTAGTAGTGCAGTGTCTCTGCTTTTTCTTTGTTAGTTTCTGTCTGCGGTGATAAAAACTACAGAAACTTCAGTGTTAGAGTACTTTCTTTTTTACAAACGTTTATCCTTCCTACATTCTTGTTCTTTTACTTATCCAATTAAATAGTTTCAAATCTCTTTTTATCAAGTACTTGTCAAGCATTTGGTACAGAAGCATGCTTTTACCCTGCCTAGTTAATTAAGGTGACTGTAAACAAAAAGATGTACAATTCAAAGCCAAGCAGCGTTTCACACAAGGATGGAGGTGATAATAGCTTAATTCCTGCTTGATCTTTCCTGTCTTTGCCCCGGCTACTTCGGATTGACCTTGGCCGCAATCTGATGACCTCCCTATTGCACTCAGCCATTTGGAAAGCTGCTCATGCCATAGCTGGCCCTGAGGGGCTATCTGGGAGACCACTGATCCATTGACCCATGTCAAGACTGGGTTTCAGATCTGATCTACTGAGCTTCTGACGTAGCTACACACTACACCCACTGTTGACAAAGCCAGTGGGGCAGTCTGATTTTTTTTCTGCTTCTTAAGTGGCATGCAGTTTGCACTTGCTGTATGGAAGACCAATTTTACACCAGTCATTTGCTATGAAATACACTTCCTGAAGCAATTACACGTATTGATCCTTTCTTTACAAAGGAAGTAAATTCTCTAATTTAGTGGCTCAATTTTTCTAAATCCATCAAATTGCCAGGTTTATTGGGTGTATTGAAGTCTCAACATTAAGTTCCACAAAAAAAAAAGTACCTTTAAAATATATTAAGGGCAGAAATATATATGTTATGTCTTAATAGGCTTTCTCTATTAAGTGTTATGCCAGGACTTTGCAGACATTTATAAAAGTGTGTAAGTAAGGTTCTAATCACGTTATCTTAGATGTGTTTATGTATATCCTAGTGCATATTTTGCAAAATAAATGACAACTTCTGAAGTTGCATGTCTGCTTTCAAAACTGGGAAACGCTCCACTTATCCAGGAGAAAATCCTTATGGTTTTGAGCTTCATTTTCTTCCTAGCATGTTGTGTTCAATCCTGCACTAGAATGTACCATTTTCTGCTTAAAAAAATTCTTTGTTTAGCCATTAGTATTACTTTGTTTTTTCTCGTAAGACTTGGAAATTACAACTCCTTTGCTGTATGTGCTTGCGTTTTTCCCTCAACTGTGTTTAGCGTAGCAGGCTCTGCCTGCAGAAGTGCCAGGGCAGGCCAGCCACGGAGGTGTTAAATGCTGCGTTCCAGTCCTGTTCAGGAGAGGCCTATAGAGCATACTTGCTTAAAGCGGTGGTGATCCTGACAAGGAATTTAGTGCATACACAGACCTTGTAACCATGTAAAATTCCGTCCTTTTTTTCCTCGTGTGTGTGTGTGTGTGTGTGTGTGTGTGTGTGTGTGTGAAATTATGCATGATTCTTCCCTGTAATTATAGACTGGACACATAAATGAGTTAACGACCTTTCCATGAAAGACAAATATTGACTTGATTCAGCTTTGACCGTGTGGGTTTTTTTCTGAACATGTGGTGTAACTCCAGGTATTGTAGAATTTACAAAAAAAAATATTTCTGGGCATTGAATGATCTTGGATAACAGCCTAAACATTAAGTTTTTAGACCCTTTATGTTAGAGAGAATAAGAATATAACTGGGTTTTACACCTTTGTAATTAATATATACGGCGCTACTTTCACCTAAACTATAGGCTGCCATTTGTGCATGAGCACTTTAAAATGTGGATTGTATTAAAATGTGAAAGAAGCCGTTTTGCCCAACTTCTTAACATCCTTGATTCTCTGTTGCTTTCCACTAAATATTATTTGTACCATGTGATGTTCATTACTTCAGTTTTATAAGTTTCTCTGTGCATAATATGCAATCAAAACCAATGTTCTGACTTTTTTGTTTTATAGCCTGTTGTGTCTTAGTTCTTTGTCGTGTTAAAGGCATGATAAGGATTTATCATACCTGAAGGTTTAAACTTTGGAAAATATGAAAGAGGGGATTTCCCCCTTCTAGGAGGGGAGGGGGATGTCTGTGGGAGGATTTTGTATATTCTCTTTGCCTAATGCCATTCTAATGATTATTTTTTTAGTGTGACAAAGTGCATCCTCTGACAGAATTTATAACATGGCATTGTTTTTCATTTATCTACAGGAATTGATTCCTGAATTCTATTACCTCCCAGAGATATTTGTCAACAGCAACAATTACAATCTGGGAGTGATGGATGATGGAACGGTTGTGTCTGATGTTGAACTTCCACCATGGGCCAAAACCCCAGAAGAATTTGTTCGCATAAACAGACTGGTAAGATGGCTATCTTCTATTGTCTGTCAAGTAGCATTTGTCTTGCAAGATTCTTCTGAAATAGTTTGGATCTTTGCTTGCAATATATGGCTGTTTATAATTTACGTAGGACTGCGGCTGAAATAATCTGAAGAAATGTTAGATTTACAAGTTTAAGAAGAAAAAAGGCATATGGTATTGCTTATTCTTTAGAATTGGTCAGTTTGAGTGTGGTCTAAATACACAGGAGATCTTATCCCAGTGGTATGTCAGGTCTTGTGTTTCTAAAGAGCTAATCAAATAATCTCTTTACAGAAGACTTGATAAAGCTTGCTTAATCATAGAAATATTTGTCACTTTTAATACTTAAATGTAATTTTAGGGTTTTTTAATTTTAGTATCCATTTAACTCCAAAGATCAGTGAATGCCTCAGGAAAGAAGGTTGCATTTGAAATCTTCTGCCACCTCTTCCGTTTCTTCTATTAAACTGATATTTTTCAGAGCAGTTTTTACAAGAAAGTAACACTGAATTTTCCTTTGCCTACTTCATTCCTCAAACCTGTATTACTCTTCCCTGTTTTGGAAAATCCTGTTGTTAGCACTGCCTGTCTTCACTGTGCCCTCTGGGCAGCGTAATGAATTACAGAATAGCTGTTTCAGTGTCATTGTTGGTGTTTCAGCACATTCTCAAAGCTATTACATTCGGCTCTTCTCAAAAGGAAAGGATTCTGCATCAGTGGCACTCTAAAGTAAGTAAGTTAGAGAAGCTTTTTTTAATGAATCTTGAAAAATGAGGCTGCAGTTTTCATGTGGTAGTCAGCTAACTGGGAAATACTGAATTAAGGCATGGAAAGTCTCAAAAACTTTTCAGGTACCAGGCTTCGGCGTGATAACATCCTGATATTCCTAAGTTAGAAAATGGGAATTGAAAAAGTTCCGTTGTTGGCAGAACATCAGACCTCATATTCATAAAATTGCACAACGGTCACAGCAGAAGAAATCTGTGATTTATGAGTCATCAGAATGCTTTACACTGCACTTGTACTGGTGACATGATACCACGGTCTTCAGAAATGTTACTTGGCCTAGATTTCTGCAGGCAGTTGTAGGGTGCACCATAATAATCACAAATTATGTTAGGTGAATTTAGTGGTTTGCTTCGTATAGAATTATGTGCAAATTTTATTTAAACGAGGTATGAAATATACTAACATTTAGCAGGACTACTTGGCAAACCATGTTCAAATGCAACTTTTGATCTTACAGTTGTGCTGATAGGTAATAGGTTAGGGAGGTAGCCTGACACCTTTTTGAGCTTGGCGTGCGTTGGTGATTCAGGATAACCTGAGAAATGAAAAGCTGTGTTCTTAAGCAGACTTGTCAAAGGCAGCCTGTGGCCTTGATCTCTCACAACTGTGGTATTTTAGCTTTTGCATAAAATATAGTTCTCATTCTATTAATTACAGATCTGGCTTTCCCCACGGTGAAGTTATTCTCCATCTCCTGCTTCCTCCTCTTCTAAGATTTTAGCTCTTAATTTTCTTTTCCTCATTTCTAGCCTTGGTGCCAGGTTTTTCTCACCCCCACCTCTCCATATGCTCTGACCTACCCTTCCCTCATCCTTCCATCATTTCCCAAAGCCTCTGCTACTAGTGTCTGCCTTTCTTGCAGCTCTCTTTGGTATCTCTCACTTGTGCTGTATTCTCGGGATGAAGTGCTTTCAGCAGGAAGCAGCTTCTTTTCCATTATTACTGTTAAACTCTTGGGCACAAAATGTAAAATCCCTTTAAAGTCTTCTCTTAGAGAGTAATGATCTCAATCCATATTCCAAATGTATTTTTTTCTTTTTATGTACAATCTGCAATAAGTGCATCTTTATTTTGTTGAATTGTGAAAAAAAGCAGTTCAGAACATTCTAGAATGAGGGAAGCGCTTGTTACATATCCAAAACTTTAATTTCAAGAAAAAGTAACCTGAAAACAGCAGTATGTTAACTTTTGTATATTTGAACGATGAAGATTAAAATTACTGTGTCATTTCCTTAATTTCACTCAGCATTTCTTATGAAACTGAAATATATTTATTATCTAAATGTAATTAATGTTTCCTTCTTATATACTTTTCCCCCCAAGTAATTATTCATTAGTGATTGTGACTTTTGAAACTATTTTAATCAAAAAGACTTTGCTAGTAATCTGCTTTACTTCATAACTACTGCTGTGAAAGCAGAGCTTGCAGTACCACTTGTCAAAGCAAAAGTTGCCATAAATTAGAGTTTTTCAAAACAAAGAACTTTTACAGAAACATGCAAATCTCAAGTATCGCATAACTGGACAGAACAGAATTTTTTTTAAGGCTTAAGTTAATTACAAAAGTAAGAAATAATTTACCAAGTGACGGTATATTAAAGCGTGTCAGACGTCATCCCTTTTGGTGACACTGTAGGTCCCTGATACTGTTGCTGTAATTCAGGTATTCAGTTTTGGTCAGCCTGGCATCATTAAATTTAAACCTCTGTGCCAGTGAATTGCGTTAACTGCTTCTGTGTGACATAGTTGACCTTCTCGTGGTGCTGGTGGCCCTGTTAGTGCTGGTATGGATGACACCCTCTGCAATCTGCTGGTTTTGCAGTGGAATAAAACTGAGAAAATCACATGCAAATATTAAGTTGCTTTTTTGTGTTAACACTCAGTGGATTGGATACCATCAGCATCAATTCACCATTTTTTTATTTTTAAGTAGAATAGGTGTGTTTAGGAAGAATGCTTAAAGCTCAGTTCCTCACAAATACTATCAAAAAAAGCTTGCTACAATGTGGCATGGGCTGATTCATTCAGGTAATATATTCTTACTGCTTCCTGGTTCAGACAAAATAGTGATTACAGTATTTTAAGTGCTCATTTTGTAAGCTATCACACTCAGATATTTTTTCCCTTTGCATTTCAGTTTACTTCTTTAAGTCCACGGATCTTATACAATGATTGGAGCTCATGAAATGCATACTACTTTGATCTGTGACCTTTTTGTGGTGCTAATCGGGTTCCTGATATCATTATACCTTGCTCATTAATCATATTTCCTGCAGCCCGTCAGCCAGCCAGACAGCCCAAGCCCCTGTTTGCAGCCTTGTGTTGGCAGGTTTCTGCTTTTCCAGATTATTACAGTGTGATACTTTGGCTTCTCATAACCAGACCCACATCAAGCTGTGTGCTACAATTAAAGTCAGATGGTCCTCAGGTTGAACAGGGATATACTGTTGCAGCTGTCTGTCTTTCTGGAACAGACCAGCACAGGGAACAGATGATATGTAGGACAGTGCATAATAACAGCTTGTACAGTACTGGGTCAATAGCAGGGGTTCAGAACATTAATTGACAGGCTGATAGCTGATTTAAAACTGATTCCCAACCTATTTTTAATTCTATAAAGTATGTATTTTAATTGAAATAGATCATTGCGTGTCTTTTGTGTTTGCTTTGAGAGAAAAAGCAGAATGGCCTATAATTAAAACTGGGTTTTGATTGATGGAATGTCACGATGAGCGAAACGATAGCATCAGGATGTCATTCTAAGCAATACAAAGACGCGTAAAAGGCATGTATTGCTTCTGCTTATAGTTGGTACTTTGTATTAGTTTGTGATAGCACAATATTTTATAATAGCACAAATCAATGTGGGAGGGAGCTAGGATATTTTTCTCTGAGAAAGTCTACAGTTTGATGGAAAAGCTTTTACCGTTCTGAAACCTTATTAGATACCTCTAAAGCTCTGTATTATATTTAATGCCATAAAATAACTGCTAAGATATCCAAAGATATTTTTCAGTTTACACAGATGCAGTTGACAGTAATTGTATTATTGTATAATTCCGTCGTTTTTTATATATATATGTAATAAGAATAAAAATCACAGACTTTTAAATGAGATAAAATTATAATTCCTCCCCTCAGCAAAACAGAAAGCTTCCAAATGCAACATACTGTTGAATCCTCACTTTATTATTTCAAAGTGAGTTCTGATATCTTTAGGGCATTAGTGTGTGAGCAAAGGGGAGAATGCTGACTTGATCTGATACCTAATAAAAAGAAAACACCTAACAACTTTTTGGTTCTCCCATGCTTCTGGGAGACCTATAGGAAAAAGAAATGGGAAGTAAACTGGGAAGGGAAGAGTAAAAAGAGATAGATGTTCAGATGTTGTTTGGATACAGAAATCTTAAACAAAAACTGTAGCAGTAGTTGATAACGTCATTTTTCAGACACTGAAATAGACATAACCTTTTAAACTTCGATTGTTCTGGGGTCTCTTGTTGGCTTCACAGTCTTAGTTATGTTGGAGTTAGTGATAATTACCCTATAAAAGCTGATAGAAATTTTAAATCCCCTTCTTATCATGCACGACAAAGTAGACATTCACAAAGACCAGGTGCAACCCAAGGAAAAATGGCATACTTCCTATTGATAGTTAGGAATAGCTGAAAATCCTAATAAGGCGGCTCTGTTTGTTCTAAATAGTAAAGTGGTCCATTTTGTCCTGTCATTGAAGGTTGGATGTCCGAATAGGTAAGAATTAATTTAAAACTATTAATCAACCGATAATAACTAAATTTCACACAGCTTTGATGAGCCTCAGCTTTTTGAGAATTAGATTGCTTCAATGATAATAAAGTTGTTGAGGTCTGTCAAGACAGCTTTCCACAATATATCTCAATTTAAGTACTTTAGTGCTTTATTGCAGAGTTAGTCCTTTAATGATTACTGGTTTATCCATTTGGTTCAGTGCTGGGAAAATGCAAGACAGATTAGAAAAGTGATGAGATTACTGTGCTGGATTGAAAGTTTTGAAACCCAATTTTCAAATAATTGAAAACGCAGTGATTGGAAGCTAGGACGCTTTCTGAAACAAATGAAATACTTAAATATATAAAGGTACTATAAACAAAATTTATCCTGGCATGATGAAGTAAAATGGAGGGGAAGGGTAAGCCAGCCATTCACCCTAATGCAGATTTTAGTGGAGC